ACTAATCTGAATGATGAATTCATAAACTGGTGAGCGGAAGAAAGCGCGTCCGGAGCAGGCGCACATTTGAAGTTTTGAAAAAAATTAAGCAAGCATTTTATTAAAAAAAAATCATATACTTATAACTGCGCAATGGGATTTACTAACTGCGCAATCATTATTATTACTAATAAATCTGACATATAGACTTTGGACTTAATAATATATGATTTTTCAAATTAAATCTAAAAGTTTTTTGCAATTTTTATACTTTCAAATATAATTATGCTCAAAATGTAGCAAAAAAGATTTTTATTCACACTTAATTTTACAAGTTCAGATTAACTCAAGAAAAACACAAAAAAAGTACCAATACAGAATAAAGAAAACCCCATAACTCTATAATAAAATTTTAAGGAAGCAGTTGTAGGAAAAACGCCCACTAACAGCCGTAGTGATAAAAAAAAACCACCCAAATAAACCGGTAAATTCCGGTAGGCAGTGCATATGCAGTAGAGCCAACCCAAAAACTTAGTCTGGAATATATACTAGATATTCATATACCCTACAATTTATATCAATTTATTTATGTGCCTCACACCCAGAATATAATTACGCCAGTAAATCACTTTCACGCAGACCAACGCAATAGGCGCATTACGTCAAAAGGACATTATACGACAAACAAATCGAAAAAGTCGCCGTGGCCTAAATATAATCGCATTTGAAATGCAGCAAACTGTAAAGCGACCCATAAACTTGACGCATTCCGCCGCTTAATGCATGCAAATGCCCTCCGCCCCCACGCGACTTTGTTAATCCTAAGAAAATAATGCACTGCCAATGCACGCAAACCGCAAGAGACTTAAAGCGTCGCCGACAACGAGATGAAATGTGTGATACTTTTGATCTTTTATCGTGTGACTTACGTAATAATAATAGGCCGCGGTTTGAAAAGTTGATCGCGAGACCAGTTTTGTCGTCGATGTCATTCTCTGAGCGAACGTTACAAATCGATTCATAATATTTTAGAAGGTAAAATTGCATACTTATGTTGTATTAAGTATACGTATAAATAGAGAGAAAGTATTCATAAATGAATCTGAATATCTTTTGGAATTTTAAATGGACTAAGATATGCTGTAGTTTTTTCATTAATATTATAAAATCGAATAAAGATGATATGATTCATGTTCAAATATTGGAAGGATCAACACTGAACTGTAGGGTAGAGTCAGAGTGCCACTCAGGAATTAAAAGTAATTCTATTTAAGTGTATAATCTAGCTTGTTGTAATTTATATATTTTTTAAGAGCTTTTTATTTATTTGAAAATTCAAACAATGGTAAAATCAAACCCTGTAAGATTATTTAATAATTAATCACAGTTTATAAATAAAAAATAAATTAAAAATAATGTGTATATGGTTCTTAATAAGTAAAAATCAAAATTATAAATATGGTTTTATAATAAATAGAATTAAATATTTTGTTTTGATTTTATTTTTCTTCTGTTGTTATTTCTTCTAGTCCTTAATGTTCTCATCCCTCATCAGATATTTATAAATTAATCTGATCAAAATATCAAGGGATAGGAAATAATTAATTAATTAATTAAATTATGCAACCTGCAAAACAAAATACCAAATTCTTAAAATTCGCGAACTCTGCGCTAGATAAAGATTTGATTACGTTACTACAAAGCGATGTAGGTTCATTGACCTGAATATAACACCTTTACCAGGTTTAAAATCGATACTAAATTATTTTCTGTGTTGTTCAGAGGAAAAATTCCATTTTTTAACGGAACTGAAACGAGAGGTACTAATTTTCATATAAATTCTTGCTTTCATCCTATTGCATTTTTACAGGAGATCATGTTATGATCAAAGTGTCCGATGCGGTTGGGAATTTTCTGATATTCTGCGTGTGCGGCGACAAGCGTGTCAAACAAAGAGCGTTTCGCAATGTCTTCTCTCTCTCATTGTCGTCCTCGCCATGTCATTAATCAGCGGCAATTATTGTAAATCAAGCGTCAGGTAAAAATTCCCAAGGCGACGTAATGCGCGATGACCGGCACAACCAGCCGCGGAGATTCCTCCTCTCACATTAAATTTTATTCGCCGCCGCTCTATTGATTCAACTCGCAGCATTAATAAATTATGCGCCGAGCAATTGTTTCAAGCGTGGCATGTGCACGCAACGAGAGAGGCGATTCGCAGCGTGAGATTATTATTATTTTAAAATAAATTTTATCGTAAAGAAAGAGCCTCCGTCTGAGCTGCAATTGCGTTTAAATGCACTTCATGTGCCGCCCATTTCGCTTTTTAATTTCCGTCCGGTGCTTTTATAAAAGTGGTCGCGTCCATTAAGGTGCCACTTTGGCTCTTTATTGCAAATCTCAAAGAGGATTACGTCCAAGAAGGGTGATCTTTTATTGTTTGAATCTCCGAACCAATTAAAAAAATAAAATAAAGAGGTGGTGATGAAAGAAAAGTTGTTTTTTTCTTTAGTAATTTTTAAACTGGAATCTCATCTTTTCTTCAAGTGATATTTTATAATAAATTTTTATGAAAATCTATCACAATTTTCAACCTTTTAAAGAATATTTAGTTTGACTTAATTGTTTAAAGAGTTATAAAACAGTTGAAATTAGGTCTGAAGATTTTAATTTTTATGGATTTTTCCAATAAATATTTATAATTAACTTATAAATTTTGTCTCTCACAGTGGGTTAAATAACAATATAATTCTCTTATGACTTTGCTCAAATTTGATTGGAATTTTAGACAGAAAGGTGAGATTTTCTGCCAATAATTGCGTTTCTCATTTTTCATTTGAAAAAGAAAATCTCAATTTCTGCGCTTCAGAGAAAATGCATCTAGTCATCAAGTTTATTAAAAAAAAGAGTAGGCAATAAAAATCTGCAAGAACTGCAATCTACGTAATGAAACGGCAAACGGATTTGAGAGCAGTAATTTCTTCCTCCTCGGCTAAAACAAACTGCATTTTTATATTATGAAGATGCGTCCAATAAATTTATGCATTAAATCGAGCTTTATATTAGAAAAATGCTGGCACGGCGGCTCATGAGATTTTACGGAGATCAATAAATGTTCCGCATGCCTAATGAAATGAAAATTTCCCGACCGGCGCTACGAATGCCATAATCATAATCCAATTTGTGAACTGAGGCGATTTCACGAAACGAGCCCGGCGAGTGTGCAAATAATATCAATGGAAAATTAGATTTGTGTATGAAAGAAATAATACAGTTCTTTATCCTTTGAAATCTTGTTTGTTTTACCAAGATTAAAAATAGGATTACTGGATTTTTTTAAATGCGTTTGAATGGAGAATAAATGAATAAATAAATAATTAAATAAATAAATTAATTAATTAATTAATTACTGTGAATAAATAGAAAATTTTAGTAGAATAAAAATTCAATTTAAATATTTCAGATTTCCTTGCAAGGGCTTTCTGTTATGTAATAAAATGGTGTAATTTTGATTATCTTGGAGGCGTAATTTACAGAAATTTCAATATACGAAGGACTCTCTCCATATTTTGTATTTTTTCCATGTAAACCTGCTGTGAATCACTAATGTTACCATCCTCACTCGTCATTTATGTCCAAAAGCTCCATGACTTTTTAATAATCTATCTTAATTTAAAATTAGTTTTTTTAAAGCAAATTCATTAAATTCTAGGATATTTTATCTAATATAAGAATCTCGAATTTTATTTCTCAATGGCGAACTTTTCAACCAATTTTTCATCAGAAAAAATTCACAGGCAAAAAAAAATGAAAATTTTATTAATAAAATGGCAATAAAGGTTCGTTCTTTGTTTCAAAAATTATTATACCCGAAAAATTAAATTTAAAAACGGCTGGCATGTTTATGGTGCGTTTTTTGCTGCTGCGGAGAGCAGCGCAGGTAAATTATCCACACGGGACCGGGCGAAACGAGGAATGTTCGCCCGCCCTGCCCGTCGAGAGAGTTATAAGTTGACATCGGACGATTTCCATGCAGTCATAAATAAAAAATGTAAAAACAATGCACCTCATCACTTAATGCTTTCAGAAGGCTCTACGCGGAGAGAGACACGACGGAGGAATAAATTTTACCAAACAACAATGGCCGGCCGCCGCGGTTTCCTCCTCGATCTGATATTTATATTTTTATATGTATATTCATCGAGCAACACCCCGCGTTTGTTGTGACACATCCACGGAATATGAAGCTTTTTTATATAAATAATATCGCCCGACGACAGACCGAACGGAGAGAGAGATAAAATCTCGGAAAATGTGGAGCCGCTCTTTGTGAGTGGAGCGGAACATGTGTATGTGGAAAAAATTGAGTTTATACACATGATTAATACTGCACCGCGGAGCAGCTTTATTGATTTCAACTGGCCGAGTCTATTGTGCTCTTTTCCGTCTCATTTTTCTCGGCTGTCAACAAAGCTGCCTCCAATAAATGTGACACTCGTCGTCGTTTTATCAGCAAATCTACTGAGAAATGGACTCAACCGTGACCCATAAAAGTAATCAATCAAATAAGATGGAATTTAAAAATGTGAGATCAAGACGAAGGTAAAGTAAAATACAAGAGGTATTATTAATTATATCCCTTTGCAAGAACTAATTTTTTTTCTCTATAAATAAATAACGCAAGTTCAATTAAGGAGAAACATTTGCGAAAAATCAACAATGCAAAGCTGCTTTAAGATTAATATGAAAATTTTATATAATTAAAAATTATTAGAGTAAATTATTATTATTATTATTATTATTATTATTATAATTTAGTTATTCTTACATGAGATTTTAACTTTCCTTAAAATGTTTATTTGTATTATTTTTTTAACTATAACTTTCTTTGAACCAAACGAAACTACTTAAGTTGGTTTTGAATTAATCATTTTCCTTTCCTCTTGATAATGAGGGAACAAAGCAGAGCAAATATAAAAGAAAATTAGAATTTTTTTAGTTTTTTCCTTAAACTATGGCTTTTTTATTAATGTTTATAAAACTTGAGTTGTAAACACAAAAGATACACATACATGGAGGAAAGTTGATCTTTAGCTTTCAAGTTTTATTGTCAAACACATTCTCGTCTTCAGTATTGTGCTCCACTTTATCTGCAGGGAATATACAGGCCTTTGCAGGCCTCGTCGTAGCTCGGAGGTGGTTTACATTGCAGAGGTACATTGATGGAAGCTTCGCCATACCAAGGTTGATAATATACGTTTGGTACTTCTTCGATTGGAGCGGAAGCTGTACTCGAGGAAAGAACAGAGCCTGGGGCTTCATATCTATACCTGTAGGTAAAAAATTTAAATTTTTGAATTTTTTTTTATTAAACTTACGGAGATGCTCTTGGTTTCCGCGTAATTTTAAAGATTTTCACAAATAAGCAACAACATGTTGGGATGAATATGAAAATAAATAATAATATCATGACCACCATCAGGATCAAAGTAATCTCGGCGTCAAAGAGCATTTTCAGCGAGTCCTTATATTCCTTCAATCAGATTTTAGCCTTTTGCTTTTGATTCCCTGTAATCACAGAGTAGAAAAACTTTTAAATTCTCTTAAAAAGAAAATACTGACCTTTCATCAAATCAATCAGACTTGATTTCTTTCACCAAGCTTTGCATTTGCTTCTTTCTGCAAACTTGAAAGTTTTCATCTAAATGTTCAAAGTCAAATGACCAAGCTTACATGCGCCTGTGAGGAAAAAGGCAGAATGACGCATTCTTGCTAATCTTTTGTGGCAATACACAAGAGCGGACGCGGTATGCGATGAATTTATTTGTAGGCAGTTGCACTTAGACCGCAATATAGGGTAAAAATGTTGAATTGTATTATGTCGATTGTCAATTTAAAATTGAATGTTAAAAAACAGGAAGTTTTGCTGTCGTTCAATCAATTCTTGCCATGCTATAAAGATCTTTTGGACATTTTTTTACTCATCACTATTCTAGATATTATTTTTGCAAACATTTTCCTAAAAAATTTGGAAGGTTAATAACTATATCCTTTTTTAAATTCATTTTACTTCAATTTAAGCAATTTTGATATGAAGTCTTTCATTTAACTGAATGTTTTGAAAGTAATAGTATAACTAGTTTTAAATTTTATTTTACAATCGCTTTTGTTTTAGAACTGTTTTTTCCTTAACTTTTTCTGAAATTTTAATCATTTTTTTCTTTCTAAATTAACCTTTTCTTGAAATTTATTGTAGTTGAATTTCATTTTGATGCAAACAGTCTAAATCTAATTATTTCAAAACAAAAATTGATTGAATGAATTGAAGTTCTATTGTAATTGATTTCTGAATTACCATCAATTATAACACTTCACAGTTTCGAAGGCATGCTATTCGAGTCATCACTAAAAAAAGCAAATTACGCGAATATTCCAAATGCGTTGGTGCTCTCCGGAAAAATCGTGCTCTCTTCACCGGTCGGCCGGCGTTGCAGCAAAAAGAAAATTAACTCGTCCTCGCGTTCTGTGCAGGTTGGCCACGTAATTACTTTTTCCAGCAGCAGCTTCCATTTTAATTGATCAGCGAGTGCAATCGCACGACCGGGGGAAAAAAGCTCGAGCGAGAAAGAAAGATGTATCCCGGTCGCGTCGGCACAAATTGGTTGAAGGGCAAGAGAAACAAGCGGCGGCGGCGATTTTATCCTGCAGTGTGTGACCATGTTTGCTCATGAGAAAGAGAGAAACGAATAAAAGGCCAGCTAGTTTGAATAAATTGGATGCAAAAATCAGCCGGGCAAACAATTTAATTAACAGTGAGTCCGAGAGCAGGCAGAGATCAAATAATGAGATCACACGGCCAGCAGCTTCTTCTTCTCCACGTTCCGATTACATCGCGCGAGCCTTCATTAAAATTTCCAACTTGCTGCCGAACTTTATCTGGAATATTCACGAGACTGCAGGCTAAATTGTGTATATCAATTTGCTCGGGCGCAGTGCGATACATCCAGGGCAAAAAATAAATTTCGCTCTTCTTTAATTGCCATTCTGCAGCACTCGCCAGGCAATTATATATTGCGGTCCGGCGAGCCTTTCGAGAAAAGTCGTGGCCTCGAGAGAACGCGCTGCGGAAAAGTATATCGCGGATTTAATTGGATAAGCAGACTGAGGACGTGCGGCCTGTTAGGAATAAAGAATACGGCAAAATCAAGACGAAGTTCTGGTGTAATTGCTTGTCAACTTAAAATCTTGAACGTCTTACTTTTTACACAACCAACGAGATCTGCATGATTGGAGAGAAAAGGTGATCATTGCCAAAAGTTAAAATCAGCAACGAAATAAGTGAAATTAATTTTTATAGAAGAAATCATTGGTTGAATAGGAATTCTGCTTTGAGTTGTTTATTTTTTTCTTAAAAATAGTTTGGTTCAGTTTGGTTCATGAAAGTTTATTTAAATTAAAAAATTAAATAATTTCCTTTGGTACAAAATTCAAATCACATATTTTTACGTTTCTTATAATAAGAATATATGTATCTTTAAAACATGCATTACAAATCACTATAATTTTACTATTGTTTTTTTAGTAATTATCATCAAGATAGATGCATTTCTTCTTAAAATATCAAGTTCCATGAATAATTTTTAACTCAGCAATTTGTAAATAATAATTCGTGCTGAATTAACTTAAGAAAAAAATTGCTTTTTTTATATAAATAAACAAAATGTTCTTTTCTTTCAAAAATATGTTAAAATTAAGGTTTAACTTCAAAAATTAGTTCATCTACGAATATTTGTCAACATAATTATGCCTTCAGTCAGAGCGAAACATGTTGTAAAGTGAAGGATATTGTTTTAGAATTTAACATGAAGCAAAACCAGCCGAGAAGTGTCCAAGAATTCAAATATCATAACTGATAAATGAGCACCTTATTTTTACAATTATTTCTACCGCACTGCCCCGTGGCTCATGACATTTTTTTTTTATCAATTTGTTAAAATAATTACTATTCTCTTATGAACTGTCCGGCCCTAAACGACGGTTGTTTTAAACAGTGAAATGCTTTTTTCATTTATGAGCACTTTAACTTGAGGTTCTAGCGCGCTAATTTTGTTTGAATGAAAAATTCAATGAATCTAAAAAAAATTATAAATCTAAAAAATAAAATATAACATTATTTAAATTTTCCATACGGCAATTTAAGGGACAAAATGTCCTTTCTAGCGCGGTGTTAAATTTGAACCAGCAACAATACGTTTTTTCAATAACCATGAAAACTGTCTGCTCTTTTTTTCGCTTTTTGTTACATAAGTCGCAAAAATATTTGAGCGCAGCTGACACCGTCAGGACACCGCGCACTGCTCTTGTGTGTAATCCCCGTCCAAGGGCGCGAAATTCCCTCTCGAAATCGAGAGACTGCGAGATTCTAATCTGCCGCGACGGCTGTTCGATGAGAAGTGGAAAGAATGAAAGAAGAATTTTTCGTCCTCCGCCAGCTTACAGACTTTACAGAGAGCCGTCTCGTGTCGTCCCACGCATCAAAAAGCAGCAGTGTAACGAGCGCAACAACAATAATACGTCTGGTGATGATGATGGATAAGTCGCGCTCCTTTGTTGCCGAGCGAGCGCTGCCAAAAGGCAAAGAAAGAAAGGACGTGATTGCTTTCTTAAAAATTAGCCTGCTCGTCTCGGCGCAAATGTCACTCGCTCGTTTGAATATCAACCGGGAAATTTATGGCCGATCGCAAGAGCAAGTAGCGTTATTGTGTGTACTTATAATATGTAAATGCGTTTTATACATTTAATCTCTGTTTGACGACGACGAGAAAGAGTTTTGCGACAATGGAATGCCAAATTTGGGCAGATATAAATTACAAATTTCTAAAAAAGTATTTTTAAATCATCTAAAAATCAGGTAGTTGTTGGTAAAGTCTGGATTAAAAAAAGCAATCACTGAACGCAATAAAATGTCAATTATCAACCAAAAGCAAAATCTTATAATTTAATCAGTGAAATAAATTGATTGAATTTAAAAAGAAAACCAAAATATTATTTCAGAATTTATAACCGTTTTTAAAAACAATTTAAAGATGGTCTGCTGCTAAAAAAAACTGCCAAATTAATTTCTATGGAAAAGAAAAAAATTCTCAGTGTAGATACCATAAGCTCCTTGTTATGGTGGAATTCTGAAATTGAATAATAAAAAAAAGCTTACAAATTGTTTTGAACATGAATTCTAATTCTAAAATATTTGAAAAATCTAATTAAAAAATTGCAATACCTAATAACATTGTTGAATTTTTGTTTTCAAAAATTTATAACCTACATTATCATTTTTATTAAAAACGATTTTTCGAACAGAAAACAGAACTGCACTTGACATTTCAAAAAAGGGGATAAATTTCCCATTTTTTTTCGACACACCATGTAATCTTTCTGCGTGATTTACGATCGCCAAGAGTTGATAGCGCAGGAATGTCACACTGGAATCTCTGCGAAGGCCGTTACGTATTACCGGGTGAGTGCGGATTATTTAAAGGATTCCAATAAAAATGCGGAGAGCGTGTCAAGTTTTTTGTATAAAAAATGACGCATCTGAGCGATTGTGTGTCTGTCGCTCGCCGGGAGTGTGGTGTCGATTGTGCACTTTATCAGAAAACGCGCGATTTATTGGGCACTCGGAAAAGCGGTGTCACCCCATGAATGTTTTGAATTTATAATCGCAAGGGTCGCGTATCATATAAAAAGCATGGCGAATATTGTTTTCCATTCGAAGATAAGGAGAGAGCTTGGCAGAAAATTTACTGGTTTTGAACACGCAAAAGCAGTACAAAGGAAATATGTTCAATAAATTATAATACGATTTTTTTTATTTATATTGAAAAATTCGTAGAATAGATAAAAAAAATTATCTGGATAATTTTTTTGAAATTTTTTTTAATAATTATATTTTATAGACAGCAAAACAGCAACTGTCAAATAATTGAATTTAATCAGAAACCTAAAATTCATTATATATTATTTGTTAATCCAAGATATCTTCAAGAATGCTGTCAAAATTTAGAGTTTGAGGTTATTATGAATTTCTATAAAATCTTTTTCTTTAAATTTATTGAACATTTTCTAATTTCTCAAAAAATTATTTGCTCCCAAAGACATTTAAATTCGATTATTTGATTTAAACATTCGGCACTGATTCTTCTGCAACACCAAATGGGTGAAAAATAAAATTAAAAATCTTTAAAATAATAAAAGTTTTGCACAGAAATATATTTTTCGGAAAAATAGTTTTGAATTTTAATATTCTCAAAATTCCTTACTACTTACTCGAGAATTAATTAACTGTCAATTTTTCACTTCCGTTTCGATTCGATGAAACATTACAGAAGCTGATGAAATTTTTACCTATTAAAATAACAATAACGGGCATTGTGATTAAAAAAACACGTTTCACGGCGCATCTGCCATAATGTATCTGAAAGTAAGATCTCTCGGCGTCTCGCATGTAAGAAATATTAACAGTAATTACGATTGATAATTAATAAGGCAATGCTTGCCGATCTCATGAAATCTGGCCGCTCTTCTTCCCATGAGATGCATCATTAATTTATTCACGTTTGCCGGCTGACAGGCCTCTCTGCTGCAGTCACTCAAGCTGCTTAATAACGAGCCGCCCGAGAGAGATAATATTTTGGTAGCCGATGGACGGACTCTGCCGGCAATCATTTAGCTGATAAGCATCTGGTAAAACGGCTTCGCGTATGCCCGAGAGTGTACAAAAATATATTAAGTAAGTAGGGGCGCTGCCGCCGCATTGTTGTCAGCAGCACTCAAAATACCATTTAGGACGCGTTATTAGCTAATTACAGGGCACCACTGAAAGAGTAAAGTGCTGCCAAAGTCCTCCTTTGATCTCTGTTTGGTGCCACACGCGCCTTGAATTTTACTTCGGAAACAATCACATCAAAGTTTGCATCAAAGGGGTGGGATTTACAAAGGCTGAGGTGGTTTTTCTGAAAAAAAATGGAGTGATTGACCAACTTTGTGGGAAGAAAGTTTGATTAAAAAGGAGTAATATCTTTAAT